TCCACTGCCAAGAAGTGGTGAGGTTGGGAAGCGGTCGATTGTTCATTCATCATCAGAACGGAGCGATACCGGTGGTACCGCTCTCTCTAACCCATAGTAACTTTTCCCGTTACCGGTACCAAGACTGCATGGTACGGTAGCGTTGAAAACGGATTCAATTACGGTGCACGTAACCAGGACCGTCACCTAACGGTCTTCCCTCCCTCGCTGATCTACATTCAATAATGCGTGTCCGCATGATACATGCATAAGCTCATGCATACAAGTAATATCTACTGCATGTTTTCCGAAAGGCATCTAACTGGAGAGGAAGGTGATTGCCCCTCTATCATAGATCTGACCTCTGAGTCGAGTCAACTTGCTGATTAGTTAGACCTGACACAAGCAAGGCAGCCAGCCAAACTCCCTTTTATCCCTTTGAACGCCATCGGAAGGCTGCCGGATATTAGACTATTGTGAGCTTGTGAGCTTGTTTGTGATTGAGATTGATAACCACTGCCATACTAAGTACCAGCAAGTTCGAGAATACTTACTTTCCCAATAATGCCCCATGGGTTGTCAATACATGTAACAGTCTGATCTGAAAACGCCGCACTGTATCAAAGAACACCCTCACTTTTTCTTTGGTGTCACTGACTGTTTGTCCGCACGCCTCAATGGTCAATGGTCGCGTATTGATACAGCAATAAGCGGATCATCAGAAGTTTCTCCTTGGATCATCCAATCCATGGTTACTGTAGGGTCTAGCTATTTTTACTAGCCTAGCTAGACTAATAGAATAGAGTTCTTTTGATTTGCTTTCGCAGTCGTCGATTAATCAATCATGATTGATTGATTCGGCACTGCTGCTCCTCACTTTTTAAAACACTATGCGTTCATGTCTGAACCGCCGTCGTCATCGGCTACCCCGCATTGCAACCCATTCGCATCCTTGCACAGGCCAAAAGCATCACTACTACCATTGTGACCGCTGCTCTGTTGGATCACGTTCAGTCCGGATCTCTGGAATAGCGTGTCCACGTCTACGCCTTCCTCCCGAAGCAACGCCTCAAGCTTGTCGACTTTGTCCATGATAGCTGCCACCTGAGTAGAAGACGCGGAGGAGGAACCCACGAGCATCGACTATACAAAGCACAGGTCGAGGAGATTGAACAGGAACGATTGAAATCAGTCAGATGCAGTCAGAAGCTGACAGCAAAGGCGTTCTTTTGACATGTTTCTTTCTTACCTGTGGCTCATAGATTTTCATTTTCAGCCCAAACTGAGATGATCTCCGGTGGTTGTTGCTTTCCATTTGAGTGGAGCGACCTGCAGATGGCCTTGCCGTTGGTCCTCCCGTGGCTTGTTTGCGCCATGCAATGATTTTTGGGACAAAGACAAGTAGTAGCAATGACATGGCAATGACAAAGACAATCGAACACCGGACAAAGTACGATGCCGCGGGGTTTTCATCCACCAAGAAGAGTGTCGGTACTCCGACCAAGACAATCTGCAGTATGAATCCCATGGCAACGGCAATGGACGACCTCTCATTGTACTCTGTATCGACGTGCCGGCTCTTGAATGCTTCGACATTGGCCAAAATGAGGGCAATGCCATTCAAGCCGCCCACGAGACCTCCCAATACCTCCGATGCAACTCCATCGTCGGAACTGGAGGCACAAGTGCCATAGGAACTGAGCTCTCCAGTCGAGATGCGCTTCCACTCGAGCGGGTCCACAAACGTCCAGATCAACAGCAGAATGGTATTGGAGACAATGAGGACCGTAAATGGCATGAGAACGTCTCGTTCTGTGACTCGTACGTACACGACGAAACTTGTTGGCATTCTTGAATACAATGTTGACACGATGCACCTTACTGTACAAGGCGGCAAATGCCGTGGTAAATCCAATGGCCAATAACCATGGCACGGACATGCATGCCACACTGGCGGCTTGTTGACTCCAGGAATCATCATCATCATCAATCCCGAGCGGGACAATTGATGGCCGATCCAAAGATGATTGCTCCGGCACAAATCATGACGAGAAAGAGTGGCTGGGACGCCCGGACAATCCGGTCGGTTCGATGTCGAATGGACCATACCCCAAACAAAAAGGGCGACGAGATAAATAACACTGAGCAATCAATCCATATCCGTAGGCTCGAATACTGGTGCCAATCTGATTCAGATTGTGTGCCGGGTGGTAGACTCCTCGTAGGCAGACGCTGATACGCTTCCAATGTCGGTACGCGGGTTGTCGGGAGTGCATCGTACGTGTCAATGGCCGAGACGACCTTTTCCGTGAGCGCCGCTACAAACTCTTTTCGTGCCATTGCCGTTTGTTCTTGGAATTGTTGTTGCGTTTGGTTGTTGTTGTTGTTGTTGTTGTTGTTGGATGATATTGTTGCCTGACTTGTAGTCCAAAAGTTGTGGAGGTACGTGTGGACTTCAATATCCGTAGTAAAGAGAATCCCGGTCGCTACCGGGAACTTGTCATCGACCACCACATTGTCCGATTCAATACTCTCCTGGACGGTTTGAAGAAAGTCGATCGTAACATTCCGTTCGTATCCTTGTGCCACGTACAAATCTTCGGCCGCGACATGCGACAATCGAAAGGGATCTTGCCCATTGTTCTCACTGCCGGTGGAATGATTCCCTGGATGGATTGACTAGCTAGTGGACGATGTAAAGACACAAAAAGTCCGTGGCGGCTTGTTTGGCACGATCTTTGGTATAATTGTTGACGGCACAGGAAACGAAAATCCTCCAAACGCCAAATACGGCGGGGCATTGACGAGTCATGTCGTGTCGCAAAGGGACACCGTTCGGGCGTACACTCGACTAGTTGTCCCGTGGCTCGATCCAAGACACGCGTCGACCCCGGTGTCGGTGCCACTCCCAATCGTCCTTTTAAAAAGTCTCCATCGTCTTGATATCCCTTCAAACTGTTGCCCCAATTTTAAAATAGTGAGGGTACATTCTCCGGCATTCATTTTGTGCAAATTGAGTTCAATACAGGAGTCAAATTCTTTTTCGGGCGTTGCTCCAAACAGCACCGTTTGTTCTTGCCACTCTAAGACTTGTTCCATGGCATTGCCCAACAACGGTGTCATGGTGTTCATCCGTATCAAACATGAATCCTTGCCATGCTCCCTGTGTTTGGGTCATACTGGCCAACATGTTTTAAAATGGCATGAATAGGCACTGGTACAGTACCGTACGGTGCACGTCCCAAACAAGATCCCGACAGTGTCTTGTTGGCAAAGACTTGGTTGACCATGAGTCACATACATTGGCCACATGAATGTATTCCTCCCATGTCCTTGCAAGCCAAAATGCTCTAGTACGTCTTTTGCGATAAAATAATGAAAAAGGAATCGCCATCGAGTGGAAACATCAGAATGCGGTCTTTGTATTGGGCAATATACTTGCGATATCCCAACAAAATATCGGCCCATTCTTCGACACGCTTTGCCCGCATTGTAGACATACTCGGTCAAATCGGCCCATCCGTCATGTTCCAGTACTTCTCCTGCCAACAACGAGAGATGGAAATGTAAAGAATCCATCATACAGTAGAATGCCAATCGAATCGACTCTTGGCTTCATTGACGACTTCTTCGGCCGATGACATGATATCAATGTAGACCAATTCAATCTTCGACATTGTGGTCTTTTGCGCAACAAAAGGCGCTGCTTCCCTATCAGCTGTGTCACAGGTGCGAGTTCTTGCCAAGCAGCTCCAACCACAAGCAAAACAACAAGAAGAATACAACAGTTTCCGGTTGCGTACCCGGTTTCGCTCACTATAAGGCTGTGCAAATTGCAGTGCAAGTGCGAGAGTCGGTTGAACAGCCGGAGGAAGCACAGCAACTACGGCGGATGAAGCGAGTTGATTGAGATGGCTCGGTTGTAATCTGATCACGTTTGAGAGCACTCTAGCCAGACATCGTTCGATATCCTGGCTCGAGTTGGATTCCGATCCTTTGCTACAGTGTACCATCATCAGCAATATTCGCACTGACTGTCACTCGACTCCATGCCCTAGCTAACACAGCCTACGGTATAGATCAGCTTGTAGTATCAAAAAGTATTTGCTAGCTAGCTTGTAGCAGAGCCTTTCGCTGGCTTCTATAGACTACTGCATGGTACCGTGCAATCCACCTACTGTATTGCATACTTACCTCGATTGTAAGACACTCCTGCCGAAGACGGCTCGATAAAAATGTCTGGAAGCTCCAAGATCTTATTTTTACTATATTTTTAATAATAAAATTATCATGCACTCAGCATCCTCAGCTGTCCATGCATCGACTGTCGATCGTTGCCTCCTCGTTTATACCGGTAATACATGTTACATGGAAGCAAGAGGATAGGTACCGTACCACCACCACTATGAATGCTCTCACTAGTCTGCCAGATGGTCTTCTTCGAAAGAATGTTGCCAAGTATCTCCGCGTACGAGACTTGCTCCAATTGTCCCGCTGCAATAAAGCACTCCGCAGTGTTGTCTTTGCCGAAACTCCGTGGCTGGTCTGTCAAAAACAACCCGACTGTGGTTCCTCCTTGTTGGTGGTTCGTGGAGTGGGTGATGACTGTCGTGACTGTCATACACTCTGTTGCCGAAGCTGCATTGCCTTTTACTGTCCGGATTGCACGGATTCCTCGTGTGGCTGTCGACGAGACGAATTCCCCGACTGTGCCGTGTGCGGGGACGAACTCGTCTTTTGTTCGGAATGTGCCACGCATTGCTGTGAATGCCAAGGATTGTACTGTCCTCAGTGTCAAGAAGGAAATGAATGTGTGGGATGCTGCAATTATTGTGGAGAACGACCCTGCAGCAGTGCCTGCGGTGGTGAAGGCAATGATGACATGTGGTGCCATGTCTGTCTGAATTACTTTTGTGCCCAATGCAAAGAAGAAAATAAATTTTATGAGGGGCTGACATTTTACGGGCCCTGTGAGGCTTGTCAAGAGTATACCTGTCACGAATGCATCAAGGTGCAGTGCAGTGGTGGGAATTCTGGTGAGGATGAGAATAATAAGTGCCTCAATATGCTCTGCAACAAGTGCTGCCCGGAAGAACGAGAGGACAAGTATCTTTGCAAAGTACACAACAATGCTGCTGGCGCACCAGAGGAAGACGACAAGAAACCAGCGGCCAAAAAAGCCAAAGTAGAAGCGCTATAGCCAGGGAAGCGTTGTTTTTCCTCTGGTGGATTACTGCAGTCAGCTTTTTGGTGTGACAGTTGGTTTCAGCACGATCTGATCAATCAGCATCACCCTTTTTCGCTCGTGGGTGCGTAGCTACGGTAGCTAGGTTTGGTTTGCGAGCCTACAAAACGTATCGTTGTCGACAATACGGGATGAAACGTCCAATGGATTGATCGCCCGAGATGAAAAGTGGGATAGATTCGATTCGATTCCGCGCCTTAATTAGTACACTGGCTTCCGTAGATAATTTCCCTACTCTAAACCCCTTCTCCGTACATATATGTATGATGTCCCTTCTGTGGTACCCACTTGCTCTTCCACAAGATAGTCCATGACAACCAAACCTTATTATTAAAAATAGCAACCACATTTTTGGTTCTCTCTTTGATTCTGGTCCAGGCCTCTACCTGGAACTGCCATACGACGAGCGGTGCTCAAAGCGTTGCGCCATTTTTTCCTTCGTCACGCCTTCTATGGTACCAAAGAACAGCCAAAGCCCATCATCCATGCACCTTTTATTTCAGCATTTTGGTTTCTGCTAAGCAAAGGGCCAAATCGGCAGCTCAGCTCTATTCATGCTAAAGAGGTACAGTACAGATGGTCAGTAACCAGTATAGTTTAGATAATTAATCAGTGAGGTTTGTTCGATTCGAGCATGGACAATCACAACCACAAAGCTGGTCAGTGCATTCAAAGTTTAGAATGCAAGACCGGAACCACCTGACGCACGACGAATTCTGCATGTAACAGAAATCCTCTGCCAGTGTACCCGATAGGCCATCACTGCCACTCAGGTCCAAATGGGCCAGTTCGGACAAAGAACTCAACTCAGGTGGAACCGTTCCTGTCAGAAGGGGCAAATTGGTTAGATTCAGTATTTTGAAGGCCTGCATAGCACCATATTCAGAAGGGATGTGGCCAGAGAATCGGTTGCCTCCAAGTTGCAGAATAATGAGGATCGAGGATGATTGAAAGCTGGTAGGAAGGCGGCCAGAGAAGTCATTGTATTCAAGGTCAATCCGTGTGAGACCAGTCAGTTCCTGCAGTTCCTTTGGGAACGGCCCTGATAGCGGGTTGTTTCTAATGACGACATCACGCAGCACGGACAACGTTCCAAGCTCGCTCGGCAGTGAACCAGTCAGCCCAACATTGTTCAAATAAAACCGATCCATCGATGTAGCCAAGGCAATTTCGCTGGGGAGGGAACCTGTCATCAAGGTATTGCCCATGTAGAGGCCAGTTAGGTCTGTGAACAAACCAAGCTCGGTTGGGAATTGGCCAGTTAAGAGGCTCACTTGCTCGTGCATTTCATACCCATAGCCCAAATATATAAATTTCAGGGAAGTCATCAACCAAAGTTCACTGGGAATAGTGCCTGAAAGATATGGATTCGCAAGCTGGATCCACATCATGTTGGTCAACAGACCCAGCTCACTGGGAATTGGGCCTGTGAAAAGGTTGTTTACCAGGGTTAAGTCCAACAGACCTGTCATTAAGCCAAGTTCCGTGGGTAGAGTACCGGTCAAATTTGGACCAAGGTTGATGAACTCCATATTTGTCATGCTGTAAAACTCAGATGGGAAAAGCTCATCAATCGTCATCTGGGCTCCAAAGAATAGCAGCGTTAACTTTTTCAACGATGTCAAAAGGGAAAGCTCTGGCGGAACAGAAGGTGACAAACCACCTAGCTCAAGATTACCCAAATTAAGAGAAGTCAGTCTTCCTTGGTTGTCACATGGGAGATTTATGAGATGCCCAAATTCGTGAAATTTCCCATCCAGGAAGAACCCAAAGCCACGGGAAAACCATAGGCACTCCTCTTTTGTGTCATCCATCCATCTGTCTTGAATTGGCTGCCACCAGTATTCTCCCTCAAAGGAGTAGAAGAATGTGGCCATGACAAACAACTGCATCTTCCTCCATTCCGGAAGAAATGTGATGTTTTGATGATTGGCTATCCACTGCCATGCTTTCCACTGAGGGGTCTCACTGCCACTGTTGATGCTGACCAAAGTATGGTTGGGTAGACTATCCAAAAGTGTAGCCAGAGCATCAGTGGGGGCAGACGATGGAACTAGAGAAGGTTCCATAGAAAGGTAGAAAGTAGGTGTAGGTGTGTCAGCAGCACCACTGGATAAATCCTTCTTGCTTGTTCCAGCAACAGTGCCAACAATTGCAGCAGCAGCAAGAACAATCAAAAATAGAATGAAGATGAAGGTTTGTTGCTGTTTCTTCCTCTCTTGCTCTCTCTTCTCTGCAGCTTCCAAATCAACTGGATTGGCATGCATTAAATTGGCAGCAGCCTCTGGGTCCTCCAATACTGGGTTGGCCACAGCCAACTGATTGTTACTGACAACTTGCCTTGTTGCAGCAGATGTGATGGTCTGGTCGTCAGTGTTTGGGATTGGATCCTGAGTGTTGGTGGTGGCACCTACCAGACTAAAATCAAGATTAGTGGTTCGCTGTTCGGATGCTCCAATGTAGGCTCCAGGACGAGCATTCGGTTGGTGGTTTGCTCCTCGGCGTAACGACGTCGGCAGAAAGGGTAGCGGCTCTATTCCTCCTGCGGCAAAATCCTCAAATGAGTGATTCTGTATCCCACCATTGGGAGTAGTGAGATCGGTTGGGTTATTTATAGCATTGGATTCCGTTGCTGCTGTGCTGCATTCAAGAGTATTGGTGTCCAAACCTTTGGGTTTGTGAGTGGAGGTTTGATTCTCCTCTGGAAGAACGTTTTCAGCGTTCTGGCCACCATTTGTTGTCTTCTTGGATGGTGGCTTGGCATCAGGTGTTCCTTCCTCCATGGATGGAGAAGTCGTAGATGTTACGGTTTGGGACTCGTCGACATCACTGTCGTGTTTGCTGGAGTCCTTATTCATGGCCACAGATGATGGCTATGATAGTACTGGTACTGGATTGATTCGATTCCTCGATCACTTCCTGTTGCAATTGAGTTTTGGAGAAAATGAATGAAGTTGTGGAAGGTCGCAAAACGCTCATCGGGAGCTGATGATCGATCAGGTTCCGCGGAAGTACCGGCGACAATTGGTGGTACGGCACGTTGATGCAAGAATGAAGTCGCTGCAATTGTTAAATCATTGGTTGCCTTCCTTTGTGCTCCGTCAACTTCGGTTTAAATAGTCTACTTCTTTGTCGAAGCAAATAAAATTTGTAAATAGGAACCCTCCTTTCGACTTTGTTCTTCAAGGCCTTGGTACCGGTTCCAAAGGGCCAAGAGAAGCGGATCGAATCGAGTGAGTCGAGCCCTGGCAGTGATGTCAAGCAGAAGCCCTTAACCCACTTTGCCGGCTTGTGAATTGAGAAAGCTGCGGTATACTCTTGGCATGCTCACATGCTCACCCTCATTCTTCGCCGTGCTCCCTTGTGCATTTCTTTGGAATTGGACCTGAGGTCTCGCTAGCAGCTACCGTATAGCTAGTGGGTACGAGTTGTACTGACCCGCACGACGACGAGACTTTTAGGAGTTGAACTACAGTACCGTAGAGGCAAGAAAGAAGAGAAAGAATGAATAAAGATAAAGCCACCAAACTGAAGGATAAACCCTTGAATCGAGGATCTCTGACCGGCGAGGAATCTTTTATCGTCAACCAGAATACGTTTACGTCTCCCGACAGCACATTGACTTTCTTCAAGGTACAAACATCGACCCAAGACAAGACCGTCACAGTCATCAATGCGGGTACCACCACCAATCAAGTAGTGTTTCGTGAAGAGATTTCCTTGAAACAACAACTCGAAGCCCAACTGCACCACGTTTCTCACATACGAGATCCCGTCACGGGAGACTTGTTGCGATTGCAGAAACGAGTTCCGGGAATTGGATTCGACGCCGTCTATCTGTATCGTCCCACCACACCCGCCTTTGACGGACAAACGCCTTCTACTCTCGAAGATGATGAGGACCAGGAACTTTACCTGTATGCCCGCCTCAAGTCCATGCCCGAAGAGGGTGACAACACGCAATTTTCCATCTTGTCGGTTGTCATTGGGAACGATGCCAATACTCCAGTGTCCGGATGGGGATACCAATGGAAAGATTTATACCAAGGCATTCGAGTGCCGCAGTTTGAATATCACGCCTTGGTGTTGGATATGCAGAAAAATGTCATTGCCAAGTCGTATCAAGACAGCAACACTCATATGCCCATCTTTGAAGTGGGTCCCGGTGTCGATGCCGATCATGCCATTTTTTGTTGTGTCCCCTTGCTGCCCGATGGATCAAATATACTCAAATACGTTGGATTGGCAGGGAAACTGGTATTCAATCCATTGGCGCTTCTTCATTGATTGATAGGCTATACACGCCTATTATATTATATTATATAGACCAGCAACGGGAGCCGTCAGATAGTACCGGTAGAAACGACATTGGGCATCGCTCATGCATGCATGATGTCATGCAGACACGCATCAATCCAAATTCTATAGTACGGGTGCCCCATCCGTCGCGAGGGAGATTTATTTAAGTTTTGTCCTTCTTGGCTTGTTTATTGATTGTCATGACGCTACTAATAACTAACTAACTAACTATGCATAGCTACCGTAGCTAGCCAAGTGGATAGGATTGGTTCGGTTTGATAATGCGAGCTCATCAAGATGAGCTTCTACGAGAGTGCTTAGCCGGGTGTTCCGATTAATAAAAGAATTGCAAATGGAACAAATTGATACCACGCCAGAGTAATATAAGTGTAACAATAAAGCTCTCTTGAGGGCATTCATAGGTACCTCTTATAGTACGTACGGTTACACAAACAAAGATCAAAGAGTGAGAGCCATTCAAGAACGGCAAAAACGGTAGCGATCGATTCGATAAGTCGCACACTTTGTCTTAACACCTAGCAGCAGCACCAGCGAAAGCGCCAATACAGTACAGTAGCATTTTTTAAAACAACAACAACAACAAAAACTGAAAGAACTCGGATCGTCAACTGCCTATTATGCATAGCCGCTGAACAAAAAAGGAGCAACAGGAGTGTGTACGAGTGACAGTCAGTGCACCACAAGCACAGCACCATTGACAACGTAACCACAGGAGCCGCAGCACCTCCGCGTCCGACGGCGTGGACAAAGTTTGCAGCCACAGCAGAAACCACAACAACAGCAACAACAACAACCATCATGTCTTCTTCATCTGTTTGGATTCAGCTCTACTACGTGTACAAAGGAGAGGGAAAGCCGAAGGGCCAACCTAGTAAAATTACGTCAAAACCCGATGATGTTGCTGATCGACTTGAAAGCAGCAGCCCTGCCAAAGCTTGACCCATCAGATCGAGTTGGCTGAGGCCTATTTGTGTACTCCCCGTCAATGCGCAGTTGCTGATGCTAAGGACACTGTGGCATCACTGGCATCAATGTTACTACCAGCGTTAGCCGAAACTACTGCGCACAAGGTTTTGGAAAAAATGTGGAAGAGTTTCAATACTATCGAAATGGACACCATTCAAGAGAATGAAAACGAAGCAGGCTCTGGTGATTATAGTGATGCAAATCACCAGAAGGAACAGATGCATCAAAGCACATCTAGTAGTGGCAGAAGGTGCATCGGTAACAATTACAAACTTGGACAAGAAGAATTATCAGATGTTCTGGGGTTTGATACACTGCAATGGAAGAACATGAAAAGGGGGAAGCAGTTCTAGAATACCTTGCATGCAATGTTTTACCTAATGTGGTCTTGACCTAGATGATTTAACAAGTCTATAAGAGAGTAATAGATGTATTAACACAAACAAAACTATCGTTTGTCCACAGTTCGAGCAGAAGACCATTAACACACTAAATTTAATCTATTTTGATCCACACTAAAATTCAGAAAATTGCGGCTAGCTAGTCAAGCAAAGATTGTGGCCGCCACTGTTTTTCCGTTCGCTCTCTCTGCTGCTCAGATCCTGTTGAGTCTCTCTGATTCGTCGCAGTCGCTCCTTCTCTCCCACAATCTTTGTGGGAGCGGTTGGGACTGCGTGTCTAGCTAGTCAGCTCAGTTTTATTACGGATATCGAAGAGAAGGGCAAAAGAGGCTTGGAATGTACTACTAGCTAGTGTTCTAGCTAGCTACCGGAACTAGTAGTAGTGATGATTGCCGTGATTGTCCACGACAACATTCATTCCTTCATAATACAAAGGCCGCTTCATTTTGATACCGCCGTTCCAGAGCATCTTTCAATCGATCCAGAAGTCGTTGATTGGCCACATCGGGTGTCGGTGTGGTAAATATTTCTTCCAGCCTGGTAACACCTTCACTGATGGATCCTGATTCAAATAGAAACTCCTTGGTCATGTGCTTTGGTAGTAGTCGTTTTGCCATGCTGGCCAGTAATTTGACAAACATGCCAGTATTGTAGTGAACGGTTTGTTGACAGAGAATGGGGTAGAATTGCATGACTGGTGCTGCCTCAGAAAACGCTTTGACGTGGAACATGTTTGGATTGCGCCATTCGTAGCCCTTGCATTCCACATATTGAACAAACCCCTGTCTGGCGGCTTCCATGTCGGGAATGGTTGCATGATTAATGTACCAAAGGCCTGCCAAGAAAGTCCGGACTTTCACCTTGTGAGTGAACATGGACATGTCAAACTGTGTCAAATTGATCACTCGCAAATAGGCACCCCTGTCAGCATGATAGGAAAATGCCAAGATAAATCCTGGGTGCATATCGAGGATTACTTTGGACATGACTTCCATTCCATGGGTGATGGTATCTCTGACGAAAAATTCTTGTCGCATGTCCTGCACTGCCTGCATTCGCTCCAGCAAATCAGGCAAATGGGATCGAGCAGTCTCCAAATTCTGATGGTGTTCATGGAGTGAGACCAGGGCAAATTGGGCATACCAAAAGTCACTCAGTGGCTCCAATTCTGGCTCCTGGCTGGCAGCGTTTTTGATTTCCAGTGCCCACAATCGCTCGGTGGCTCCCAGAGCCATTCGACCCGCATCCAATGGGCCCATGGGCTTTGGAATGCCTTCTACTGAGGCGTCATCGCTTCTGTTGGACAAGTCCTCTTCTGCCTCGTTTCTCCCTATCAACTCTTCGGCCACTACTTGCACTACCTCTTCTTGATACTGCGCCAGTGCTTCCATGTTTGTATGGTAGGCGTTCTTCTTCTTCTGGTTGTGGATGGACCTGCTGCTTTTTCTATGTGGCAGGGAGAAGTTGTCAAATGGCGCTGTTATTCTTTTGGTGGCACAAAAATTACTCCGAGTACGATTTGGTGTACCAATACCGGTACCGGTATTTCTCAGATGCGAAACCAAAACACAAGTGTCCATAAATGTTTTGGTAGGTCAAATAAATGGTTAAATTAATGTCTGTGCTCACTAACGATTTATTAGACTATCTTTTGGGCTTATTGCTCTGGATTCCTTGAATGACTCCTCAATTGTCCACTACTGTACTGCTTTACGCATGCTGAGTTTAGAAACTAGAACGTTTGAACTGTGCTATGCTATGCATTTCTAGCTACGGTAGCTATTTTAAATAGTAGCTACCGGTAGTAGTAGAAGGACCCCAAAAAGGAATTATGTTATTGCCTTCAAGGCAAACAAGCAATAGCCTTGGCCTCATTCTCTGGCTACTACAGTAGCTATCTACCGTACTATTCAAACTACGCTAGTAGTTACATGTAGCTAGACCCAGGTAGATAATGGCGCAGTACTAGCCGTTGTTTTCTTCCTTCAAGATTTTCATCTTCTTCTTGCTGGGCTGCTGCTGCTGGCTCTTGTATTTCTAGCTAGTAGTGCCTAACAATTTTGCCCTGTTGGCTTAGACTAGCTGTAGCCTGGCTTTTCCTACACCATCCCTTTCTTTTCGTTTATTAGAAGATGACAACAACGTGTAGCTTCGTGTCGGTAGGTTTTGGTATGCTATAAAACCTTTCTTGGTACTGGAGTAGAGCTCCACAGATACATGTACCAGGTACCGGTACGTTGTGTGTGGGGTGGGGTTGAAAAGCCAACGAAGGCTGTTGTCAAGGATGAGTCAGCAAGACTTAGCTAGTGGTACTCGAAGATTTACCCTTTTAGCGTAGTCGTACTCACCTCTAAAAGAAGATTGCCTTCGGACGTTCATGATGACCAAGTTAGTGTGTTCACAAGACGTTCACTGAGAGCAGCGGCAATCGTAAACCAACAACACACCGAGCTGTCCGCTGTCACAAGAGATCTCGCTACTAGCTATCATAGCTAAAGCACAACACGAAACAAAAGCAGAACCACAAAAGACATATTGATTGACCATGTTGAGCTTCCTCAACAACAACCACGACGACAGCAGCAACAATGAGGCTCGCATGGAGCCGCTGCGGATGGAAGGCCCAGCAGCGCGGGAAGAAGAAGCAGATGCGCGTGACAACGACGAGCAAGACGACGAGGACAGCAGTAGCGGCAGTGATGATGACTCTTCTACAGAAGGCATTCCCATGCCCCGTGTACTAGGGCCACTCGACGAAGGCCGTATGGCGTTGGGAGCCACGGAGCGATTGTGGGCGCGGGAAATCAAAGCGGCCGCTGCCAAGTGTCCCGAATTGGAGCCCCTCAGCGACTTTTGGTATGCCCAGGTGGCCATTGTGTCATTCCACGAACACCACCAGAATTTGGTAGCAGCCCGATCGGATTTGCCGGCGGTATTGGAACGATTGCACGCTTTGCAAGATATGCGACAAGAATACTTCATCCGAGATACGGTGTCCCATGGCGTCGAAGTCATGTCCCGGACGGTATGTGATTTGCTACCGGGATGGTTCATGGCCTTTTCCTATCATGCCGAAAAGGGAGCATACCTGCGGGTAGTGTCATTGACCGAATTCAACATGTCCATATTTACTCAAAATGAAAAAGTCAGGACCTGGCTGGCCGCTATTTGGTACATCAATCATGCTCATGTTCCTGACATGGAAGCAGCCAGACAGGGGTTTGTTCAATATGTGGAATGCAAAGGCTACGAATGGCGCAATCAAAGTATGTTCCATATCAAGGCATTCTCTGAAGCTGCACCATTGTTTGCACTTTACCCTCTTCTCTGTCAACAAACCGTTCACTACAACACGGGCATGTTTGTGAAATTATTGGCAAGCATGGCAAAACGACTACTGCCAAAGCACTTGACCAAGGATTTCTTGTTTGAATCGGGGTCCATTGGTGAAGGTGTTACCAGGCTGGAAGAATTGTTTGCCATGCCAACACAAGAAGTGGCCAATCAACGACTCGTCGCACGATTGAAAGATGCACTGGAACGACGATATCAAAACGAGGCCAATTTTAGACTGTGATTGGGATAGTACCGTATTGATAGTACTGTACCCATCATGCTAGACTGTACGGAGCAGCAATCAGCTATCGTGTGTTGCTACGTCGTAGCATAGTTATCCGATCGTATATGAAGTTTCATTGTAGCTACATGTACGTGACCTCGCTGCCTTTTCCTGCAGCTACGGTCGCGGTAGCTCACCGCATTACGGAAATCGCATGACTTGTTGAGACGATGGATGGCCACAGAAGGATCACGAGGAATCTATCAGTCAGTCTCCGATCTTCCATACCAAACAAAATACAGAACCGCTCAACATACCGTACGTCTGTCGATATCCAACAAGCAAGCTAGACACATGATGTTGGCACTGACTGAGCCTGCCTGCCAGCTAGATGTAGCCCTCGTTCCTCGCTGCCTTTTCCTGCAGCTACTGGTACGGTAGCTCACAGCATCACGGAAAGCTCACTCTTTGGTGAAATGATCAATCGTACAGTATGACCTGGCGAGAGATGCGGCTCCGGTACGGTAGATATCAGGCAGTCTCTGATCTCCCACTCTAGCTAGACCAAACAAAATGGCAAGCGACACGGATGGGTCCACCCTCGTTGTGGTATTTCACGTCTTCCCTCAAGATTCGAATGATTGATTATTAATAAATCGTTTGATTCTATCTTCCCTCGTAAGCCCGAATGATGCAGTCAGCCTACTAGCTAGTAGATAGTCAGTGTTCACACGGAGCGAGGACGACGACAAGACATCCAAGGAATAAGTCGTGGCTCCTGTGTCGCGGGCCCTGATGGCACAATGAGCTTTCGCTGCTCCATACAGTACAGTATGGGATTTTGATGATGATGCACTTTTGCTCTTCCGCTCCGCTCCGCTCAGCCCAACCCCTCCCGACACCTTTGGATAACCTAGTTACTCCCCGTCTACAGTATCCTTTTTCGATCGGGGGTCCTTCATCCTTCTATCTCCTCCTCCTTTGATCCCCGCCTCCCTTCCCTTATCCGCCCACCCTCTACATGCATTATCCAACCACAGTTGGCCTACTCTGCCCAGTAGCCCTTCCTCCTTACTGTATGCAGAGAGAGAGAGAGAGCTGAAACCAAACGACGTGGGCACAGCAGAACGGTACCACAAGCAAGAATGGAACCAGTGCCGTCTTGCCTTTTTCTGCCCAAGCTCGCATGCCAATGCGACCAACCTATAGGTTTTCTTTCCTCTAGCTAGCTACAGAACCATGATATAATAGGAACAGAATACTCGGACACATTTTTTGCGTTCGGTCCCTTGTCTGTCATACTATTGAATTCATATATCGACCAACCAATAAGCACCGCACCGCACTTATTCCTGTTTATTGTTGTTGTTGTCGGTGTTGATTGTTTCTCCCGATTCTTGAATGGCTTGATCAATTTGTGGTACCACTCCATCCTTCCCGACCAGTTCGTGGTAGAATTGATCGGCCTCGTCGTATTCCTGTTGCAACGCAGCATCTCCGTCTGCTTGGTTGGCCTTGACCTGTTTGTAGTTCTTCTCAATCTTTTCTCGCAGCAACTCGGTATCCTTGCCCAACTTGGTCCATGTATCCTTTAGTTCGGTACCCACTTTTCCAGGAAATTTCTTGGCATCGACGCCCAGCTGTTTGGCGTATGCCAGCGTCTGTGTCGCTTGGTATTTCCATTCGGCCGATAGTTCCTTGAATTTGCTCGGCGCCATTTCCTCCGACGATGCGTTCGTTGTAGTGGAGGATGCCATGGTGGTTCTTGTACAGTCGTATGTAATGTATTCGATGATCGTCTCTTTGAACTAGTCTACTGGAACTGCTTGTACTTTGTTTTTGAGTGATCTGGTAACGACGACGAATGAGAGGTTTTCTTTTGGTTATTACATTTTTGCCCTCAACGGACTGAGGGTCTTTCACACTTTTATCGCTGTATGTGTGTGTGTGTGTGTTTGTTGCAGCTGTTTTCGTCACATAAGGGACACTTGCTTCGTTAAGGATAGGGATTAATATTGTGTGTTCTGTTGGACACAGTAGTTTCTACACATGGGTACCGGTACTGGCTGCCTATGCAGACTCGCTAGTGTGTCCAGATAAACATGGTGTAGGTTTTGCCAAAGACATAAGGGACATTTTCCTTGTTAAGGATAGGGATTGATATTGTGTGTTCTGTTGGACACAGTACTCTGGACCTGTACTGGCTGGCTATTGAGACGTGCTAGTGTGTCCAGTTGACCAAAGATGTTAAGGATTTGATTCCGGAATCAAATCTCTTTTTGACAGTTGAGGGCATCAGCCTCCGGCTGCTTGTTCTTCCGGGAATATTTTGGGTCTCTTTTGGGTGTTCTGTGGAGCTGGTGTGCTCGATCTTTGTTGGTGGGTTACATGGTGGCAGATTGAAGAAGCCTTTTTTCGGAGAAACCAAAAAAAGCGTGTCACGCATCAGGGAACTCAAGAAGGGAACACGAACGACGTACTGTATGCCGTGCGGCATCGCGGTCGGTGCCGTCCGCACGCCAAGATTGCTGGCTAGCTAGCTGGACCCTCTTTTGGCTTCAGAGCCGTCTCGATAATAATAATCCAATACTAGCTAGCCCCCGTTGTTCGTTCTGTTAGAGGTCTTGGGGCATCATACTCAGTACAGTACAAAAAGGCAACGTACAGGGCAAAACAAACACCTTATTACTCATAGATGGTTTTTTAGGTCAGACGACCACAGTCGGAAACAGGAGGAGTTTCATTTTGGGAACAATCGCACCGAAGAATAGTACAAAGATGGTGTGGAACGGTTCCTGAGAACTGATTCCCATATAGAGTCAACCCCGTGGATGCATGTAGTTGACTGGGCAGCGTTCCTGTCAAGCCATTGACGTGAAGCCTCAGCCATGTCATTGATGTCATCATGCCAATGCCAGTCGGGATTGTGCCAGATAGCTCGTTGTCATAAAGGAGAAGCTCCCGCAATGACGTAAGTTGACCAAGCTCGGAAGGAATTTGACCAGTCAACCGATTCTCTGAAAGGTCGAGGGTAATCAATGAGGTCAGCAGTCCAAGCTCGGAAGGAATTTGACCGGTGAATTGATTATTCCAAAGGTTGAGCCGATACAACGAGGTAAGGAGCCAAAGTTCAGATGGTATTTTTCCGCTCAACAGATTCCAATAGAGCTCAAGATAGGACAAAGAGGTCAGAAGCCCAAGCTCAGAAGGAATTTGACCAGTCAACCGATTCACAGAAAAGTCGAGGCTAATCAATGAGGTCAGGAGCCCAAGCTCAGAAGGAATTTGACCCGACAACTGATTCCAATCGATGTAAAGAGAGGACAAAGAGGTCAGGTGCCCAAGCTCTGAAGGCAGTGGACCGGTCAATTGATTATCAGACAGATCCAAATACTCCAAAGCAGTTTTTGTGTGTAAGTCTGCTGGTACCAGCAGGGATGACAATGGTACTGTAATGCCGTTTCGAATCAAATGAAGCCTGGACAAGGAAGTCATAAGGGCAATCTCTGGAGGAAGAACAATGTTGAGACCAGAAAGCTGGAGGGATTCAAGTTCAAGAGAGGCATATTGCCCATGTTCATTGCATGGTGATTCGCCGTCCCTTCCCCACTCAGAAAAATCTCCAGAGGAGGTGAAATATCCAAATCGACTGGAGAACCAGTCACAGTCTTCGACAGTGCCATCCATCCATCCATGGCTCCTTATCAATGGGTTCCATCTATCTCCTTCGAAGGCATAGAAGAAGGTAGCAAGAGCAAACAATTGTGTCTTTCTCCATTCAGGCAAGTTTGTGATGTTCTGGTGATTGGCTAACCACTGCCATGCTTGCCACTGAGGGGTTGAACTGCCATTGTTGATGCTTCCCAAAGTGGTATCAGGAAGATTGTCCAACAGCACATCTAGAACTCCAGTTGGAGCAGAGGATGGTACTCCAGTTGGTTCCATGGAGCCATAAGCTGTGGGGGCCTCAGTTGTCTGCAGGATAACAAACTCTGGCTCCTTCTTTTGGGTTCCTGTCACAGCTCCCACAATGACGGCCGTCACAAGTAACAACATCACAAAGAAGAGAACAAACATCTGCCTCTGCTTCCTCTTCTTTTGTTCTCTCTGTTGAACCTGTTGTAGATCGACTGGATCTGCTGATGGCCTTGTGTGATCTTCTGGATCTTCATTGACCAAGTTTGCATGTGGCAACCGAGTATTAGCCTCCGTATCAGGCAACAATGAGTCTTGGTTTGTCACAGTAGAGGCCGGGACTGTTGGTGTGAGTTCAGGACGTGGGGCATCAGTGGAAGTATCATCAATGGCAGGACGAAATAGGCCATAGTTGAGAACAAGGGTTCGTCTCATGGACTCTCCTGGGACGTTGCTGTACGCTCCAGGTTGAGGTGGCTGCTGGTGCTGTTGTGTCAGTGATGGATGGCCTGCAGTAGTACCAACGTTGGCTTCAATGGTTGAAATTGATGCATGAATTTGTCCGTGTTCTGTGGGTGGAACAATACCACTTTGGTGATGTCCAGATGATTTTGAGGGCAAGAATGAAAGTCCTGGGTTGTTCAGTCGAGCTTCCACAGAAGAAAGAGCAGCAAAAGTAGAGCTGTCGTGGCTTGTTTCTTTGGAGCCTAACATCGCTGATCTGTTGCTGTCTGCTGCTATCTTTACTGTTGCATCTTCTTTGATGTGTGACTGCTTTTCCTTTGGCAGGAACTTTAGCTGACCACTTTGTTGAGGGTTGTTAAACCTTGCTTCGAGGTTTTCAAGTGCAGCAGAAGCAGAATCCATGTTGATCGTATCATTACTCTTGCTGTTGTCATGTTTGTTCTTGTCATCTTTTTGGCCTTGGTGACTGTCACTCTCTTTGGTCGCTGGTTTTGGGTCGTCTGCCTCTTGGCTGTCTGTCTTTGTGGCACAATGGGCCTGCCTAGCGGTGGCTGGAGCAGTTTCTGTTGAAAGAACCTTTTCCTCAACCATTTGTTGAAGACCACTATTCACGGCCTCCTTGTTGCCCTCTTTGGACATCTTTGACTTGTTGTTGTCGTTCGGAAAGAACGAAACCCGACCACTGCTTTGGGAGTTCTCACGGCAGCCTGCCCAGGTGGTTTGTGAGGTGGGTAAAGTATTTGCAGAATTGATATCTTTTGTCGTTGGTTTTGTGCTGTCTTCTGCTTCAAGTTCTTGCAGCTGAGTATTTCCCGTCAACTTTTCTTCATGTGACATCTTCCTGTTGCTGTCGCTGTTAGCTGCTTCTTCATCGGTGACTCCTTGATGATGAATGATTCGTCTGTCGTGGGTGGTCCTGGCATCGCTGTCCTGATCCTGATCCTGATTCTGCATGCTGCCAGTGGGCGGTTTTTCTATATCTTCGTGATCGAGCTCTCCAATTCATTCGCTATTAATAGCGACTATTACCAGTAGTGGATAACAAGAAAGCGTGATCTAAAGGCCGGATAGAGTCGCCTCCCCTCTTTTTGTGTGACCATGCAGCAGCACCTTCAAAGAGGTGTTTTGTTGTTTTAAAGGGGGGGTTCTCGAGTTTGCGAGCAAGTGGTCGTGTGCTCTTGTTGAGCTTCCACGACACAAAGCGTGGGTTGAGCAGAGCGCAGCGGAAGCAGGATTGTCGCAATCGCTGATCGAGCTCGGTATCAAGCAAACACTCGTACGGCACCCACCAATTTCGAGCCACAGCCAACTTGGTGCCACAGCCAACTTGGTGCCACAGCCAAGTTGCCCCAACACGACTTCACTTGGCAGGTTCCAACCAACATGTCAAGACGGGTATTGTAGACCTACGGGTGGAAAATGGGCGGAGAGCCTCCGGTGAAATGACGGTCAAGTCGAGGGGCATTGCCGCTTCATACGGCCGGTCCAGCAGGTTGTTCGTTGGCCGTGATTCGAAGGCTGCTACAAGGGTGCCCTCACATACACCCGTTGCTGTCGTCCGTATTGCTTGTTTGTGTGAGTGGGTTACTAATTGTTTATAGCGTTGCAACGAACGCAGCTTAACGTCACCAGCTTGGAACCCCTTCCTTGTTTGTTGTCTTTGCCAGCTACCTGAGCCGCAGTATCCACATTGTAAGTGCCTCGCCTGCGTCCTTCACTGTTCTATTTGCGTACTTCTATCAAGCCAGGCCATTGTCTTTGCCAGCTACCCACACCGCAGTATCCACGTCGTGGTGCCTCGCCTGCACCATTCACTGTTCTATTTGATTGATTCTCCGAGCAGGGAAAGCTCGGGTCGTTCTGCCGTCTCTTCTCTGTCTCCCCAGGGATTGAAGGTTCGCGGAGGCTGTGTTGCTCTAGAGACGACCGTATCATGGAGAACGGCCATGACTCCTCATCGTTGCGCAGCAGGCAACTACCACTTGTTGCTGCCGACAATCAATCTGCCACTTCTCATGTCATGCTGGGAAAGTTGTTCCATACCACCTCGAAGCTCTCGTATCGTCGTGAAAGATGAATCACTTCAAGTTGTTGAGACACGTCGTCGTCTTCATGGAATGGCACTGATGACTGCGCGGTCGTTGCTAGTGAAATTTGGCTATGAGGCTTTGATCCGTTAGAGTCGTTGTCATCCTCATCTGTATCATCCGTGTCAGAAGCAGCTGGGTCTCTTGTATTCGTACTCATGGGCGAGTCTGGAGTGCCCACGAATGACTCGACTGTGCCACCGGTGCTGTGCAAGGCATTGTCATCATCATGGTTGTCAACAAGTGGGCCCCAGATGGAAAGCACAACGGGAAGAAAAACCAAACCATGCGTCACCCCTAACGTGATCATGGCGAAGAAACAGATGAACACCGTGCGCACGATGACACTGGTGCTAAGGGCCAGGGGTAGGACACTCAGGGAAGTTGACAGGCCACCCAAAAGGATCGAAGCACCCACTGTTTCCAAAGTATCTCGAACCTTGCCTTCCCGAGTCTTTTCGTGAGATTCAAAGTATCTCTATTCATTCGTTGGATGAAAATATGAGCGTTCAGCAACATGTGTAAAGGTTAGCTTGCATCGATAACGGCAACAGAGCGAGTGAACGAGAGTTTATAACACTCACCAACAGGATGTGCACGATAAAATCGACAAGTAAACCAATCGAAATGACCAAGCAGATGCAAGAGACAGCGTTGATGTACAGCCCAACGTATTGGATGGTGCCTGCAATGATACCAGAGGTTTGACTCTGAGTGAGATATATGGATCAAACAAAACTACATCATGCTGGTGTAAGGACGTACCAAGAAGGCATATGTAGAGCATACTCATCAGCGGGAAGAGAAATAAGATAGCCTTCCAATGGGGGAAGAAAATGAAGCCAATAGCACAGACCGACAAAATGCCAGCAATGGTCGTCAAAAGTTGTTCCTCCACGACTGCAGAATAGAACTCCTGCGTATTCGTGAGAAGCGCAAGGTTCACATGAACAGGACAAATGGAGCCAGAAGTATGAGCAAAATCCGCGTGCATATCACCAGAATCCTTCAAATCTGCTTACCCAGATAAAGTAATCCGAATTGAACGTGAAGAACGACCAGTCTTCGGTCCCTTCGTTGATTGGCTGACGAGCGGAAATGGCTCTTTGATCTTGCAATACCTGTATTTGTTCCTTTGCCACTTTCAGGTTGATACCCGACAAATACGTGTAACAAGAAGATGCGGAGATTTTGCCCGTCTCGTCGAAGACTACTTGGCTTCCGTAAACATCCCTGACCTCGGAAAAGGAAAACGCAATGTCGACCTGCTCTTGCAACGTCAGAGTGCTCCAAAACCCCGTGTCAATGCCAAAACTTTGCGCTACCTCCGAGTTGGGGAAGTCTTGCAAGTCTCGAAACCAGCAAAGAACGGGTTCGTCGGCAAACTGTGGAAGTGTACCGAGTTCATCAACGTATTCGTTCATGCGTTGTTGCATATCAGGATCCAGTTGATCAAAGTCGCCCCGAAAATAAATGCTCACACCAAGAATGCGAGAGGTGTATGCCTCAATGGAGTGCAGAAAACCCCTTGCGTATGAATCTTCCGGAAGGAGCTCACCGAAGTCAAAGTGTTGTGTCAAGAGACTGGTGGAATAAGCACAAAAGCCCGCGTGGGCCAGGAATGCTACAATGACAAAGATCTTCACCCAAGGACGCAATAAATGTCGAGCGTACCAGCCCATGAATCGCTCGGGCACAGATTTATCTCTGGTGCTGTTGTGCTTCGGTTGATGCTGCTGCTTCCTTGGCGAGGGAGCCTTTTCATCTTGGAAATTCCTGCTGTCACACTCCGTCTCGGTGTCGCTAGCGCCGTCGTCAGAAGCTGCTGATGAACGAACGCAAAGACAGCAATCCATGCGCCTCGCTTGAATTCGTCGTTCGTCCAAGACAAGGAGTGCCACGAAGAATGTGATTTGATAGAAGAAGTCAATGGCAATACAAGGAAGAGCGTATAGATTCAGCCAAAATATGGCAGGAATGGTGGATATGCACCCGATCAGGAATGCCAGCATTGTGGTCAAGGTGGTGACGGAGATACTCAATCCGATTTCTTGCATGGCCTGCTCGACCCGTTCAGCCGGGTCCTTGCGAGGATCTGTTCGAAAATAGGCACCAGTAATCATGAATGTGTCGTCCAATCTAATGTACGAATTTCATTCAATGATATCAGTTCAGAGGAAAAAGACCGTTCTTGTTAGAAACTCTCTGTCATGACGAATGCAATGTTCACCGGAATGGCACCTTCAAAGAACTTACCCGACGCCTGTTGTTGTCGTAAGGAAGTGTGTGGGAGGATTGCATAATAATGTTCAGTCAGACCAATGGTAACAACAAGCACAGACGTTGTTAAGCATTCTCTGCCTCGTGATGCTGCCTTGGCATACTACAGCCCATTACCGGTACTTACCAAACACCACAAAGGGAATTACTTGCGTCATGTTGGTATACGGAATCCCAATGCAAAAGACGAGTCCGAAACTGGTCAACAGTGACAATAGAATCGTAAAGACGGATCCGATTCCCAACAAGCATCGCGACTGGACACGGTCTCGGCATCGGATAAAGACGAGACAGGTAAAGGATGCCATGAGTCCAAAGCCCAGCGGTATGAGTGGCAAATCTTCTTGGACTGCCCGTGCCATTTCATCGGAATACGATCGCATGGCAACGTATTCGACCTTCAACAAGACAACGCCATTGCTGTTTGTTGGTTTTTGTTGCAGCCACTGCTCTTGCAGCGCTTTCATTCGTTCCAATAGACGCGCTTCGAATTCCAACACTCCGTCTTGATCGATCAACTCGAAAAAGAGGGAGTAGGATTGCAACGACGAAATCAAACTACTGCTGTTGTTGGAAGTTGCGTTGTTGTCGTTGTTGCTGCTGCTGTTTTCGTCGTCGTCGACACCCACAATGGCATTGCCTAGAATCAGGTCCAGTTCCACTCTTTGGAGGGACGATGACGTACTGGTCGTGTTGTTCTCGTCGTTCTCGTTCTCGTAGCCGTAGAGTCGCCGTAAGATGGCCTCTTGGCCCCCGTGTTCGTAGAGTTGATCGAATTCAGTGACATTATGGTCAAAGAATTGCGTCAGACCAGTGATCTTGCATTGGCTCGTCGTGTTGTCGTTTGTACTATTACCGGTACCCGACTTGGCACAAAACGCGCCGTAATCGGGGGTATCGGTCATGTACTGCACGGCGTCAAAGACTCGTCGCATATACATGACATCCAGTACATTGTTGCCATCGGCATGGATACTCATGAGGGAGAGTCGCGTAGGTTCTGGAAATCCCGATTCGTAGTCGATCCAGTCGGAATGGTATTTGGCTTTGGAGTTGAACGGAGCAAAGATGGCCGTCGTAGAAAAGTTGACATTGTAATTGGTCATTAGCCCCGTGATAAATAGCGCGGGAGCCAGTAGAAGGATCGTGAAAACGTATCGTTTGGGATGACGAGCCGCATGTACCGCCAACTGGACCACGAGCGATTGTATCCGATTGTGAATGCCATTCGTCAGTTTGGACCACTGTTTGGGTATACACGCACAACATGATGACGACGATGGTGGCTTGGCAGTGGTGGTGGCGTCAGAAGAAGCAAGAGGCATTTCTGGTGGTTCTGAAGGCGACAAATGCTCTAGATAAGGACGATCACTGCTGCTGCTGCTGCTTCTGGTTGTTCCATGGTCCTCTCTGTCATTGTTGCTGCCGCCACGACCACTGCGAGGCATCTCGCGAGTGGCGATTTCGACTTCTATGCATTGCATGGTTAATTAATTGCTGCGGTTCGTTCGTTGGGGGCAACAAGAATGACAATGAGATTCGAGAGAGAGATGGATGCGATGCGATGCGATGCTCCCTGTTATACCACTGTGACAAAATGTTGCTGCAATGCCTGTCGCAAAATTCGTCGTTGAGGTGAGCGGCGATGCTGGGCTGCGGTGCGCCATTTCAGCGAAAAAGTGAGCGATGCGTTTTGCCTCCTTTCTCGTTAGGACGGGAGTCGCTTTGAGACGCGCAGTAGACCCGTCAAAACCATCAATATTCTTAATCTTAGACGACCAAACGAACCACAGGACAGCTCCAAACAAAGAGAGCGTTTAACCATGCTTCATTCTTACCTTTATTTATTAGAAACATGTGGTCTGATTCTTATTTGGTTCGTGGTAAACAGTTACCCCAGGAAATCTTATACCGCCGCGGGAAAGGCTTCCCATGCGCTCACGGCACAATCGCCACCGTGGATTGAAGCCACAACGAAACAAAACTAACTACTGTATGCAAGAGATCACCACGGTAGCTGCTGTCTACCGTATCTAACACTTGTAGTAATTGTAGCTCCACCCCCCTTGCTTCTTCACCTATCCAATGGGTTCCGCCATGTCATCGTCGTCGCTGAATGAGCTGTGCCACGTCCTGCGTCGAAAAGATCCACCGCCCACGTTGGAGGAAGTCCGTTACCATCATCTTTTCAAGGGAGCCTCCTCGCGTCTCGTCGGTCGCACTATCCAGCAGAAGAATCAACTGCTTCCACTCCACCAGGCTTTGTGCAACCGCGCCCTCATGGAAACAGACGACGAGTCCAGTGATATTGTGGAATTTCTGATCATTTGCCAACTGGGACCGTCTCAAATCCAGTGTTCGAAAGGAACGCTGGGATGGAAGCTTACCCATTCATATCGTGTGCCAACAAGGCGCTCCCTTGGCAGTGTTCCAGCAATTGGTCCATCACTTTCCAGCAGGTTTGCGTTACCACTCAGGCTTTCATCATTGTGGATATCTACCCCTCCACTTGGCATTAATGAGCAGTCGGTTTTGGAACGTCCCAATGGAAACAATCCAATTCCTCCATGAACATAATCCTGCCGCCATTCAACAACCCATTTCTTCTGACAACCAGTCGCTACCGCTTCATTTGGCCATTCGGTTTCATTGCCGCCCCTACAGAGAGGATGGTGACGACATTGTCCAGTTCATTGCACGGGAGTATCCAAAGGCTCTGTCTGTTCCAGGCCAAGACAACAAGGGTTTGCCCCTTCATGAGGCTTGCCATGGTCGATATTCCATTGAGACCATTCAATGCTTGGTCCAACTCTATTACCCCACCAGTTTGACCTGCATGGCGGGACAAAGATGACAGGACTGCACTCACCACGCCATTTGTTCATGGGGTGGTGGCAATGATGGCAACATTGGTTATGCAGATGTTGTTGATTATCTCATGACTATGTCAACATCATTAATGGTGAAATGGATGCTGCTCGACAGGTTTTGCAAGAGTGCATGAGGGCTTGTTATACAGATCTCCTGCATCAGGCAATAGACCAGTTTGTGCCATTGCATTTGCTTAAGGATCATGTTGTTACCTTTCTTTTGTGAAGAGGTTAATTTTTCAGCTGACAAGGAAGGCACCATACGTCAGCACCACTTCCATCCAAGCAGCAGCAACAAGCACTGAGTGGGTTCTTAGCTGCCATATACTCCAATGTACAAACTACAGGACCTAGTAGAATAAGGAGAAATACCCAACTATAATTGCTATCATACAACCATGGATAGAGCATGCTATCGAGTTATTGATGAAGAGCATTGTGTCAACCTCTGTGCATGAACCAGCCTGCCAACCCAAATGCTGCATACCTGTAAGCTTGAGAGCCGTATGCACCGAAGCCATGCTTCAGTGAGAAGATTAAACTGACATCCTCAGCAATTGCTCTGTCTTGGATGTGCCTTCTTTGAAGCTTCACTGGATCAGTAAAGCTTGGAAGGGCATTGACTTCTTCAACAGTTCAATTGCTCAAGCTCACAAGTGCTCTTGCAAGTTGAGCAAGAATGGAGGCTTCTATGGCAATCCATTTTTGGGGCATTGATAGCCCAGCTTCTTTAATACATCAAATCCCAGCTGAATACTTTGATCAAGCTTTTTTCTTGATTGAGCAAGTGTGGAATTATTGAAAAAGAGCTCCCCGCATTAAGGGGTACCAGATTTGTGTTTTTAATCTTTCTCGCAAGCAAGCTATCATGCATTACATTGCCCCAGTAGACTCGGAATCTATTCATGGCTGACCTGTTCGTTCCAGCACCTCTTCTCAATATAGATTCCTTGTCAGCGAGATTGCCCCTGAAGAATCTGCGTGCCGAAAGCTGTAGGTCTAATCATAATGCTCGTGTCGACGACCGCTACTGGCCTCTTTCACCTCCCATGCAAGGTTGACTTTTTCTTCGTCGAGAAAACACCTTTTGATGCACAGCCCCTTTTCACAACAATCGCGAGAGCAAAATTCACTCGAAAAGTTCTGTGGCAGTGTGGCAGTGCTTGGACGCTTTGAGAATTATTGGTCCTGAGAAAAAATGCCGTTCCTAAGTCTTCAGAAGTCTTTTAAAAATCCAAGAGGTCAAATCCGGCCAGCCAGAGGTAGTCTAGATGTCTAGATGTATCCGCTGCTCTCCTCTCTCCGAGCTGCCCGGACCGTCTCTGATTCTAAGAACTCAGATCGTCGCTGACTTTGCAATACAGTAATAAGGCACCGGTATCTACACGTACTGTAAGTCATAACCTCGGCAGGTAAACTGCCTGAGTTCTCAACCCCTTTAATGCTATTTCCTATTTCCTATTTCCTATTTTCTATTTCCTATTACCTCGGCAGGTAAACTGCCTGAGTTCTCAACCCCTTTAATGCTATTTCCTATTTCCTATTCCGGTGAAGCCAAAGTATAAGGATAGAGATAGTCATAAGCCAACAAAACTGAACATTGATGAAGTTAGGGTAGGAATTAATATTTAAAAGGTTAGTGCAATCAACACAACAGCACAATAAGCCAGCAGGAGCTGTAAAGGTTAGAGTTGCAATAAGGGAATGGCAGCTGGTAAATTATAGAGTAGTGGGCGGCAACACACGACGTAGTCGGGTGTTGTCGCCAGGGCTAGCTTAATTAAAATAAAGAAGGTTGCAATGAGGGAATGAATGATACCGGGCGGCAACACACGATGTAGTCGGGTGTTGTCGCCAGGGCTAGCTTGAAAGATGGGTGCAATCCGAACATAATCCTCCTTCTTTCTATCTGTCTTTCTGCCGAGGTATCGCAGCTCCCGCTGACTTATCCTATTTCCTATTTCCTATTCCGTGAAGCCAAAGTATAAGGATAGGATAGTCATAAGCCAACAAAACTGAACATTGATGGTTCAATACAAGTTAGGGGTAGGAATAAATCATTAATATTTAAGGTTAGTGCAATCAGCACAGCAGCACAATAAGCCAGCAGGAGTTGTAAAGGTTAGAGTTACAATAAGGGAATGGCAGCTGGTAAATTAAGAGTAGCGGGGGCAACACACACGACGTAGTCGGGTGTTGTCGCCAGGGCTAGCTTAATAAAGAAGGTTGCAATGAGGGAATGAATGATACCGGGCGGCAACACACGACGTAGTCGGGTGTTGTCGCCAGGGCTGGCTTGAAAGATGGGTGCAATCTCGAACATGATCCTCCTTCTTCTATCTGTCTTTCTGCCGAGGTATCGCAGCTCCCGCTGACTTATTCATCCCCATGTTTGCAATTTTCCCCGTCTTGGTTCGAAGGTTGATTGATTATCCACCAGGATTGTGCACAAGGAAGTCCTTTTGTTACATGCAGTTAGACTAGTTGCACGGAAACGATCGACCAACCGGAACCGTCTCTCTGATTCGAGGTTTCTTGTTGTTGAGGTGGAATCTCGAAAGATGATTGACTCAGCCAGTTTTCTTGAAACCGGCAAGGCTGTTTGAAAAATTTAAAATCGTGGGTCGAGTTCAGTCGCTCCAAGGAAGGTCTCAATCGATCATTCAATTTTGCGTGACCGCATGTCCAAGAACAATCAAGCTATCATACAGCGAAGGCAATCCCATGGACGACGATTCGGTCGAGGACCACAACAACAACGACTTGAACCGCAGGCAATATATTACATGAATGTATGCATCGTTTCACTATGCCATTGCGAGCTTGCGAGAAGTATGAGAAGCTAGTAGAAGATTTGATACTTCGAAAGGAGCCTCCTCCTACGTTGGAAGAAGTCCGTGTCTGTTTCAAGCGTGTCGGTCTGCTAATAGGGACGTTGTCTCGGAAGAACCTCCTTCACATGGCCTGCCGCAATCGTCACATAACGGACGCTTCGATTGTCACGTTTCTCATTCGCAAGCGACCTTGGAGTCTCCGTCTGGTAGATGATGATGATATGGGCGAGCTTCCCCTTCATGCGGCATGTCGAGTTGGCGCTTCGTTGTCCGTCATTCGAGTATTGGTTCACAATTATCCCGGAGCATTGCGGCGTCGCTGTCGAGGCGGTCCTCTTCCCCTACATGTCGCTGTCAAGTGGAGTTCTACGTCACTCCAAACCATTCAATTCTTACACGAACAGTATCCATCGGCGATTCAAAAGCCATTTTATGCCCAACAACACAATGCGCAGAACAATTCAACCACGCACTCGTCCCTGCTTCATGTCGCCATTCGATATCAGTGTGGCCCCTACAGATTTCGAGAGGAGGATACTGGTGACGGTGATGCCATTGTCCAATATATTGCCAAAATGTACCCCCAGGCACTGCTGATTCCCAGCCAAGACAACCACCGTTTACCCCTTCATGCCGCTTGCCATGGCCGGTATTCAGTGGAGACCATTCGGTGCTTGATCCAACTTGGTGGTCCCAAAAGTTTGCTTTGGAGGGACAAAAATGGCAGGACTCCTCTCCATCTAGCTGTCTGTTCTTGGGGAGGTAATTGCAAGAGTAATATGGAGGTGGTGGATTGTCTCATGCAGGAAACCGCATTGCTAGCTCCAACCGTCATGATTCTGCAGGATTGTCTCCAGGGACAGTACACGGCAAGTCTGGAAGCTGTCCAGCTCCTGGCTCAAAAGTACCCACAAGTTGTCACCCAACTGGATGATGATCAACGAGGGGAATTGCCCTTGCACGCCGTGTGTCGGCTCCAGCCATTTCACTGCTTGCAGTATGTGCAGGCACTGGTACAGGCATTCCCCATGACTGTGCTCCAACCGTCGTCAAGGAGTGATGGAATGACGCCTTTGGATGTCTTGAATTCCGATAGTGTCCAACCCAAACTGGTGCATGGTGACGACGACGACGACAATAATGACAATTATGGTTGTGAAGCTACGAGGCAGTTTTTGCAAGAGTGCATGAGGGCTCGATATGCCGATCTCCTGGGTCAATCCACAGACCTTCTTGTTGTGCCACGGCATTTGCTCATGGAACATGTAGTACCTTTTCTAATTTGAGCTACATGTAATTAGTTGAGACCGTCCCGTATTGTCTCTTTTTGGCTTGGCTGCTGTTGTGGCAGGCAGCAGAGAGGTTCAGCAAGCTGGAAGACCACCTTGGGATCTCTGGATTTAGCAGGTGCCCCACAGCTTTCTATGCCCTGTTCTCTGCTGTCTACACCGGCAATTGCTGCTGTATGAGTCATGTTAGTACATTATCGCCCTCTTGCGCTCAGGATTCACCTCTCCTAGCTAGCCAGTTTGACAGGGAATGATTTTGCCACGAATATCAGCGCCATCGTCTTGCAATGACTGAGGGCGTCCAGGAAGCAGCTCAATTGGTATGCTCACTCTCTAGGTGCTCTACCGTCCGTCGGGCTCCCATCTTGGTATAGTTCCTGTGTGCTTTTCCAATCCACCAGGAAGCCCCATCCTGGTCCTTCATCATACAAACCCAGGAAGTGAGTAGAGTGCTCACTGTTCCTCCAGTAGAGACCTCGTGGTTTGGATTCGTTCCATCAGCTTAGGTTGTAGTTGATAGGAATGCGTGCCGTCACACGTCCATTGATAAATGTCTTGCACTGTGATCCAGGTGAGCAAGCTGGCAACTGGAGCACAGCCCAGTCCATGCAGAACCCTCTTCCAGAACAGATCTGCAATGGGCAACGACTATGATTCTACGTTGTGCTAGTTAGTGGGTGGGCACTGTCTGGGCGTAAACTTGGTGCTTAGTGTTTATGCTAAGCCGGTCCACCAGCTCTCGGTGGAAGAGTGAGTGAATCGCATGTTGCATAAGTCCTCGACAAATTTCTCAGGATAGTCAAAGCCTTGAAAGGCAGGTCCTCCTTTTGTGCGGCGCAGGGCAGGCATGACATTTGCTTCGAACCAGCTGTATCGGCATTTGGGTTCGACGGCCAGGAGATTCATGAATTCTTGGTTGACAAAACCGGGAGCGACTGCTCGGCTGAATGTGAGCAAGCGCAATTTGTGATAAGTAGGTAGGGCATTGTACCCCGTGTCAGTGGACTGACGAGCCTGTTTGGCTGGTGGGGGGGCTGGCCACATGGAAGCAGCAGAGGCTGCGGCCGAACTCAATGAAATCCTCCGAAAGCATGGCGACCAAGACAAAAATGGACCGATGGTCCTCCTAGTCAACACAGGCAATGGAAACTTTGAACTTCTCACCTGCATCCTTACGGCACCGACCAGAGACGACATCCCAAATGCGCCCCGAAATTCGGCCCTCCTAGGGCCGGGCAAATTCATCGGAGTACTGGGCGATCGCACTGAACATTAAGACACCTGGCTAGTCACCATTGTAGATCCCAAGAATGTGTTTGGCAAGCGCACAGAGAAATTGGCTACATTACCACACCGAATGACGAAGACAATGGTGTCGGCCTTAAACCCCACGACGATGCCACTGAGGCAGAGTTCTACCCATGTCTGCCAATCTTCGGCAAAGAGGTATGCGAGTATGCGACATTCTGTACGAAGGCCTCTACCCCGCCAGTGAGACCGATAGCTCCTCGGTAGCAACAAAATGGGGCTCTCGAACCATTGCCCATCAACTCAAATCCTGGGTGGACGCCATCGGCCCTGACAGTGTACGCGATCAGGCCAAACTGTCCCTTCTAGGCCTCTCCACTCAAGTCAATCAGGCCAAGGATGCTGCAAACAGTATGTTTCAACCAGAGCATCCTGTAATGCTGAAACCATGCACGGAGCCATTGCAAGATACATTACACCAATCGTGGATCCACTCTTGCACCCCAAACCATACAAGGAAGAAGAACGTTCTCAAAATGGCACCATCGCAAATGGAAGCCCAAACTCAGGAGCTAACCCTCACCAACTGATGGCCACATCCGAACCCCACAAACGGGTATCGCACAACGAAATGGAACCATGCCGCACCACACAAATGGAGCTCAAATCGGCGCTGTCACCATCGCAAATGGAGCCCCAAACAGCGCTGGCACCATCCAAATGGTGCTCAAATCGGCGCTGGTCACCATCGCACAATGCGCACAAACTCTCAACCCCTACAATTGAGGGCCCCTCAACCGGGCCAATGGCATCGCAAATGTGCCGCTCGCAACTGGACTGGCACCATCGCAAATGGCAGCCCAAACTCTCCCGGAACCAGCGGCCCTGGCCGTCACACCCCTCCCAACCGGGTGCACTTTGAGGTAGTCAACGACGACCGCCCCAGTAGCACCCTGGCAGACCAAAACAATCTTCGCTCCCGCATCTTCTATTTTGAACCTCATGGCACACCCCCACGTGTGGACGTCA